GCCCGCCAGGCCAGGCCCAGCCGCCACCCAAGGCTTCCCTTCCCCCACCCCCAGCCCACACCCGCCCGCCGCACCTGAGCTGCAGGGATAAGGTAGGGGAGGGGCCAGCTGCTGTCAAGGCCACGTGTAGAGCCCCGGGGCAGGAGGAGGGCGGGCTGCTCTTAAGGCGGGTCTGGAGGTGAGCTGGCGCCTCCTCTTGTTACTCACCTGGGCTCAGCTCTTTTAGGTCTTGGGAAGCAGAAGTGAATGCTGCAACGGCCAGAACAGGTAGGTGCCCCTGGACCCTAACTCACTTAACCCTTTGTCCCCAGCTTTGCCTTCCTTGGGGCTCACAGGGAAGGTGGAGAAGAACCCGGTGGAGGCTGTAGATGCCATAGCTGGTCTCCCAAGCAGGGAGAATGCCAGTTCAGCACTTACAGAGAACTAAGGCTGCACCCGTTTGCACAGATGGGAGAATCCTGGGCCAGGGAAGAGGCTCACCTGAGGCCTTGGACTCCAGAGAACAGCCCGGACAGACCCAGACCTCCTGCTCCCACACAGAAAACTAGGCTTTCAGAGGCCTGTCTGCTGTCGGGAGTGGGACCTCCTTGGCCTGTCGGGAGAGAAGGGTCAGTGAGGAGGCAGGCTTGTGAATGGGGGTCCTGGGGTTGTGTTTTGTGGAGACTCTGATTTCAGCCTCTGCCTTCACTGATCTGGGTTTGTAGAAAGAAGAGGGTAAGTCAGAAGAGGTGAATGGATGAGATGAGGGCTTTGCCAATGTTCCAGGAGTTCCCTGGCCCTGGGAGTCTTGGGGAGCGGGAGAGAGGGAGACTGGAATTAGAATCTGAAGAGGAGAGGGTAGGAGGGACCTGTAAATAGGACAGCGCTGGTTGGAACCACACACACACACACACACACACACACACACAAAATCTGAGCCCAGGGACAGAGAAGAGCCTGAAGGAACCAGCTAGAGAGGTACACCAGGAGGGTCTGGGTGGGGCACCACCCTAGAGTATAGGCGCAGACAGAGCCTGTGTCTGGGAGTCCAGGGGTGATTTGGGAAGGTTCAGATGAGAACTTGCAGGAGGGCTTTTTGTCCTCAGCATCTCCACCTGCTGCTCAGTACCATTTAGTTGGTACTGAAGGGGCCGGGGTGGATGAGTCTTACATCTATGACACAACAGCAGAGGGTGATCATGTGAGATTATAGAGGCATGGAAGCCCTCTGTGAAACCCCAGCTGCATCCTTGTGGGCTGTGTGGCTCTGGGCAAGTCTCTGAGCCTCCATAGCAGTGCCTCCTCACAACACTGTCCAGGACCAGCCAGTGTCTGGTATTATCAGATCCCCATCAGACAGGTGAGACTACTGAGAGCTGCCCAGCAGGGAAAGGGCCCTTTTCCAGACAGCACAAAAGCAGCATCCAGATGAGCAGGTGGGCATCCTAGGTCCTGATCATGGGGGATACTCAGCCTCCCATGCACTTTGCCCAGTGTCCCCAGCTTCCTCTGTGGGTCTGACAGAGAACCCTGCTGGCTGTGCTTGGTTCCTTGGACGCCTGGAGACTATATGGGAAAAGTCCTGTGTCCTCAGCTGCCCCTAGGGAAGGAGCTCAGAGGCCAGCTCCCTTCCACTGCCTTTTATAGACTCGCTTCCCCACATCAGCCTGGGCCACCCCCTCTAGGTCCTGCCAAGAAGTCTGGCAGCCAGGCTCCAGGAGCCTAAGGCATGGAAAAGTCTTGGTTTTTGTCATTAGCTGACTGCTCTCTTGGGCAAATCATACCCCCATTCTGGATTCCTTCTGCCCTTGAACTCCTTGTGACTGAAAGAGTTAAGATTGCAAAATTCCAGGGCCTGGATTTGGATCCCAGATTCTGGCTACTTTGGGGTTTTGTCTATATATTTGGGTTTTTGTGGGGGATTGGGAGTTGAGACAGGATCTCACATACCTCTAGCTGGCCTCAAACTCACTATGTAGCCAAGGATGACCTTGTGCTCTGATCCTCCTGCCCCACCTCCCTCCTGCTGGGTTGACATGTGTGCACACCATGTCTGATCTCTGGTGGTCTCTCAACTTTTGTGAGTCTGAGTATCTTCACCTGCAAAATGAACTGAGAACAGAGGCACAAATGTAGCTGCGTTATCAGTGTGTATCACATTGACCAGTGCCCAGCACCAGTATCCAGTAAATGGGACCACCTTATGAGGGAGTCATCCTCCAGAAGCCCCAATTTCTAGGTCATCTTTAGACTTGTCCAACAGTTTCACACACAGCACCTTCTAGCCTTAGACTGGCTCTGTAGGGCAGGCCACAAGGCTCAGAGTCACCAGCAAGACTGGAGCTACTGTGTTCCAGCTCTACCTAGTTTTCTCACTAGTCTGTCCCAGGACCTCTTACCTCCTACCCACACTTACCCATGAGAAACAAATATGTAGCATCAAGGTTAGACAACAGGAAGAACTTTTCACAGTACAAAAGATGAGGAAGTTAGGACATCTCTTTTTCTGGATGAGCCCTAGGGGAGTGATTATCATCTATGATATCATTCTCCAGGTCAAAACTCTTTTGTGGCTCCCCATTGCCCTCAGGGTTGAGTTAGCAGTCCTTAGCTGGGCCTTCAAAGGAAGCTCCTCAGAGCCTAGCCACCTCCTATCTAGCCCCTGGGCCTTTGCACACACAGTCCCACCACTTTGAATGCAGCCCTGCCTCCTTATTCCTACCAGGTTCTCCCAGCTAGCTCCCATTTGTCCCTTTTCTACTTCTGTATGTCCCCTCCACCAGGAAGTCCTCTCTGACCTCCCCACCAGGGCCACAGAGTCCCTTCAAAATCGCCAAGTCCCCTGTGACACTGTTCACAACTGCTTATCTGCTTTCTTCTTTGTTTCTCCAGCTAGCCTAAGTCCAGGAGACCAGAGAGTAGGCAGCCTGGGGTCTAATCCTGTACTGACTGGCTGATGATGTGACCCTTTGGACAGGTTACACACCTCTCTGAGGCAGTATTGTGTGACACTGAATTCCAGTGAAGCTTGAACAAAGACAGCCTGACTCTTAGCATCCATTTTAGCCAAACTGTTCTGAGAACCTGTTCCTTCAGATTGCTCCTAAACAAAGGCCTTCCTCTCTCTCTCCTTTTATCTATTTATTTGTATTTTATGTGTATGAGTGTTATGCCTGCATGTGTGTAAGTGCACCCATGTCATGCAGTGCCCACAGAGGACAGAAGAGAGCTTTGGATCCCCTGCAACTGGAGTTACCAATAGCTGTTAGCTGCCATATGGGTGCTAGGATTCTAATCTGGGTCTGCTGCAAGAACAGCCAGTGTTCTTAACAATTGAACAATTGAACCATCTTTCCAGCTCCAAGCCTTCTTCTCTCTCCCTCTTTTTTTTTTTTTTTTTTTTTTTTTTTTTTTTTGTCTTTTTGAGACAGGGTCTTCCTGTAGCCCCAGCTGGCCTGGAACTCAGTATGTAGACCAGGCTGGTCTGGAATTGACAGAGATCTCTACCTCTGCCTCCTGACTGCCGGGATTAAAGGCATGCACCACCAACACCCAGCTGTATCTCTCTCTTTTTAAAAAAAATATTATTTATTTTTATTTTATTGTGTATGCATGTATTGTCTGTATTTATGTAAGTGCACCCACATCATACGATGCCTGCAGAGGTCAGAAAAGAGTGTCAGATTCCCCTGGAACTGGAGATAAGGATGGTTGTTAGTTGCCATGTGGGTGCTGGGAATCGAACCAGGATTCTCTGCAAGAGCAGCCAGTGCTCTTAATTGCTAAGCCATCTTTCCAGCCCCACCTTCCTCTCTCTTTTTGAGATAATTTATCCAACATGAAATTGGGAAGGGAAAAAAAGAACTGTCTTACCAGAGGATTATTTCCCTTCTGACTCCCTACTGACCTAGAACAGCACACACAACCATAAACAGATGTTATCAATATAATTCCATCTATTGTTTGCAACACAAATGGGGCTGATTTGTTGCTTCCAACAAATTTCTGCTATTTGCAGGACTTCCTATGAAACACACACACACACACACACACACACACACACACACACATACACACCTTTATACATTGTTCTGGGTCAAGGGCAGGGAAGAGTCATGAGGGATTAAGGCTATATGTTTTATGTTGCAAGAGAAGCTCACAGACGAATAGGCTCATTTTTATTATAAACAGGCTAAGATAAGATTAACTTTTTGGTTGCAAGGTTAAGTAAAAGTCAATTTTCCAGAGTATGTCCTTATTGTAAAAGCCTTTCCCATACCTCTCTGTGTCTCTGTTCTTTTCATTGAAAAGGGGAATAATAGTGCCCACTCATAGGGGTGTTGTTTTGAGGACTGTACAAGGCTTTATGTATAAATATCAGGCCTCTATGCCTAGTGATTCATTTCCCTAGTGATAGATGATCAGGCAACATCTCTTTATTTTAACCATCATTTACGCAGGCTGAGGATATGCATATTATTCAAGTTAGCTTATTATGGGGCTGGAGAGATGGCTCAGAGGTTAAGAACACTGGCTGTTCTTGCAGAAGACCTGGGTTCGAATCCCAGCACCCACATAGCAGCTAACAACCATCCTTATCTCCAGTTCTAGGGGATCCAACAGCCTCTTCTGTCCTCTGCAAGCATTGTGCAACATGGATGCACTTACCTACATGCAGGCAATATACGCATACACATAAAATAATAAATAAAATAAATTTAGCTTATTTTATAAATAAGGAGATTGAGGTACAGAAAAGTTCATTAATTGGTCCAAATTTACACTGCTAGTAAGTGTTGTATCCAAGAGACAAATGAGGCAGTCTGACCCAAGCCTTTAACCGAATGAGCTGATCTGTCCTATGCTGAGGAACCAGGGCGGGCAGAGGCTTCACCTACAGAAGTCACTCAGTTCACCTTCCTCTTGCAGGTCCTGGGAGCTCTCCCCAGCAGCCTATAGCTCTGGAGTAGAAGTGAGCTGTTCAGAAGCCTGAGGTAAACCTCTGGGCTCACTGACCCACCATGTCCAGCTCCCTGCTGACAGGAGGCCATGCAGTCAGCCTGGCTCCCCATGAAGAATCCAGGATGGCCCTACACCCAACACCCAGCCCTGGCCTGCCACCACTGTGTTCTTACTACACCACAGATGGCTGGGGAACCCAGGCCTTGATGGCCCCAGCACCCTGCAAGAGCCCCCCGAGCAGGATCCAGCAGACCCAGCAGGCAGAGGCCAAAGCTCACTGCCTCCTACAGTGCCCTGGGGAGCAGGCCTCAGGGACCCAGGACCTTGACTCCTACATTGACTTCTCACTGGAGACCCTCAACCAGATGATTCTAGAACTGGACCCCACCTTCCAGCTGCTTCCCTCAGGGAATGCAGGCTCCTTGGCCAAGCCTACCCACAGCACCACCTCAAAGAGCAAGAAGGAGGAACCTGAAGCCTTAGGTAAGGATTTGGGGCACAACATCAAGAGGGGAGTTGGGAACAGACCTCAAGCAGAAAAGGACTCTCCTATGGACTCCGAGGTACCTCCTATGGGGAGGTGCTGTGCAGAGCTAAACAAGTTACTGACTTCTCTGTTTTCTCTGCTACATAGAAGGGATAAATAGAAGGTTCTTTCCCTATCCAATTCTATCTGGTTCCTAAGTTTGTAAAGTGATAGACACCAGTTCCATGTGTTTTTTATAAGAACTTAAATAAGCTAATCCACGCAAGCATTTTACACAGTGCTACTGCACATAGTGAGGGTTTTCTAAATGCAGAGTCCGGGAACATCACTGTTTTTGGTGTCTCTCTTCACAAACTAATTTCAGTCTCCTGAAATTATTATAGGATTTTTAGATCCCATCTAGGGAAACATCTCTTAGAAGAGGCCCAGGCTGGAAATAGTGGGATTTGAGACACCCAGAATTCTGTCTAGTTAGAGCAGGAAGCCTGCCGTTTTCAAGAAGAGAGATGGTGGCATATGCCTTCAATCCCATCACTTGAGAGACAGAGGCTGGTGGATCTCTGAGTTCGAGGCCAGCCTGGTCTACATAGCAAGTTCCAGGCCAGCCAGGACCACCTAGTGAGACTGTGTCTCAAAACACACACACAGACACACACCCCACAGAGAGAGAGAGAGAGAGAGAGAGAGAGAGAGAGAGAGAGAGAGAGAGAGAAGTAGCCATTTTAGAGACCAGCAACACTGAAGCAGCAGACCCAGTGGCAGACACCTGGAATCTCAGCTCTTGGTAGGATCTCAAGTTCTAGGTCAGCCTGAGCTACATAGCAAGACCTTGTCCCCAAAACACAAAAAACAACAACAAAAAAAACCCTTTAAAAAAAAAAAAGCATAAGGAGAGCATGAGACCACATCTGAGCTGCCCTCCCCACACATAGACAAAACAATCTTACCATATCAACCATACCAACGCAATAGCCATAAAACCTCAAGAGCATACATAACTAGTAAACTAGTGGGAAGAGACATGATGGATTCTGGGTATTTTTTACCTTTGGTGGGTTCTGGTTTTTTGTTTTGTTTTGTTTTTGAAGTTTTTTTGGTGACAGAGTCTTGCTATATAACTAGACTAGTCTCTCTCAGTCTTCCTTCTTGAATACCATATCTGGCCAACTTTTGTTTTTAATGGAAGTTATCTCTAAGTTTATAGAATGCAATTTTTAATAATGGCTGAGTTTGGCAACGAGCTGGACAACATCTTGAAATTTTAGTAATCAGCTCTTAACAAGCTGGCACAAGCCAACACAAGCATACCCAGTCCAAAGGAGTCTAGAAATCCCTGTATGTAGATTCAGTTCCTCACACTTGAAAAAGTGTCAAGTGTGTTCTGAGAAGGAGGATTGAGGAGCAGCAGACCACTAGGCGGAGTAGAAGGTGGAGGCCTCCAAGGGTTTAAATAGCAGGAGTAAAACGTGCAGATAGCATCTGGTATAACAGTCATTTATTGATCACTTACTACATACCAGGCCCTGTCCCTATGCTGAGCACTTTCTATAGAATCTTTTTTTTTTTTTAATGGGATCTCATGAAGCCCACCTTGGCCTCACACATACTATGTAGCCCAGGATGACCTTGAACTCCTGATTCTCTTGCCTCCACTTCCCAAGTGTTAGGATTACAGATATGAACCACCACATTTGGCTGTTATAGAATCTTCCATCCTCCCATCCTACTCCTCCCTGAGATAAATATTTTACCCCATTTTACAGATGAAAAACTGAGGTTGACAGATGGAGTAAGGAATCTGTCTAGCCTAACTGCTGAGCTCAGGCTGACCTTACACAAGCTGTTGACATCACCTCTGTACCTTTGGTTCCTCATCTGTGAAATGGACATAATAAGAGTTCTTACCTCAAAGAGAATTGGGGGGATTAAAGAAAGTATTTGTTGCCTGTGCCACAAATCCTGGTGTACTGGGTCCTGATACAGTGGCTGTTTTTAGTAAATTTGGAAACTACTGTAGGGCCAGCCCCAGGGTAGTATAGACTCTGGGGTAGAGGCCAGCATAGTACCCAGACGCCCTGGTCCTACCTGGGGCTCCTGGTCTCCCACCATTTCCCTTCTTCCTGCCAGGCCTATTCAAGAAGCTGTCTCCTCCCCCTAATAGTCTTCTGCTGCTTAAAGCCAGCCATGGGCAGGTCACTGCAGTGAAGCGCCTTGGACCTAATTACTGTTGGTAGGAGACAGTCCAGGGTTTAAATGTTCATGCCCCAAGGCAGGGATTCTACTCAGCCAAGGCCAGCTGGGGCAAGACCAATATTTGGCGTCTGCGTGAATAAGCAGGCGAGGGTGGGGTGGGGGTGGGGGGTAGAGGAGGACAACAATGGACAACCAAACCCTTCCTCCACTCAAGGGGCTGCTGATGGCTTATGGAGTGGTTCCCAGCCTTAGATTTTCTGAGCATAGTTTGCCACTTTAAGCATGGGTCTATCCAACTCTGGGGACTAAGGAGTGTAGGAAAGCTGGCAGCAGCCACAGGGTCCAGACACTCTGCCCTAGCTCCTTCTGTTTTTTTTTTTCATTTTTAAATAGACCTTCTTCTCTTGCCCAGGCTAACCCAGTACTCACTATGTACTCAGGCTGGCTCAAACTCATAGCAATCCTCTTGCCTCAGCCTCCTGGTGCTGGGATTACAGATTTATGCACCGTCCTAGCTCCTTTTGGTGGAGAACCAACAAGCCTCTCCCCCAACCACTGCTCGCATGCTTCTAACATCTACGTGTCCCTCCCATCCTAAGATGCAGGGACAAATCAGCTTCCCTTCAGAAAGTGGTCTTCCTTCACCAAGCTAGCAGACCTTGCACCACACACATCTCAACCTCCCTAGACCTTCCTGTGGATCACCACTGCTCATGAGAAAGCGACTAATCCTGGGAGAGGTCACTTATATTTCAGCATCCTCACACACACATCCTTGTGCCATCTCTGTATCCTCCTTCAAGGTGCTAAGGGGGAGAAACCCTGCCATCAGGTACCAGCAGATGCTCAAGGTGCCTCTTTGTCCTCCTTTGGCAAAGCTCAAACATCAAGCTTGGTCATTCTCTCTTGACTCCTCCTCTAGATAGAGATGCTTAGACTTTTTGTGAAGATTAGTCCCTGTGATACATGACCCCAGTGTCTGCCCCATGAAGGAAATCGTGGTGACCTCATTTTGCAGATATGTAGACTGAGACTGAGGAGGGAAGCAAGGCATGGTCCACAGTCACTCAGATAGCAAGCGGCAGTCAGGCCTCCAAAATGAGTATAGTTAGGCATGGTGGCGCACACCTTTAATCCCAGCACCAAGGAGGCAGAGGCAGGCGGATCTCTGTGAGATCGAGACCAGCCTATATAGTGAGTTCCAGGCCAGCTGTGGCTTCAGGGAGACCCTGTCTCAAAAAGACCGCCCCCAAATCTAGTTATAGTCTTTAAAGTCCATGTTCCTATCTCTCCCTGTCTTTGGGTCTTGGAATTTGTTTGCAAGCAGCCTGCAGGCTTCTCCTATGTGCAGGCCTCCCCAGCACGTTGGTGGCCCTCCCTTGGTTCTTGTCGCATTCGCCTTCCTTCAGACTTACCCCCACAGAGTCCCCATCCCACAAGGATCATGGTTTCTAGACCCAAACACCATCTCACTTCTTTATCCTCCTTATGACCTCCCACTCCCTCTTTGGAGCAGGTCCCCATGTTTCATTTTCCAGCAGTTTCTGCCAGGCAAGGCTATTTGCCAGTCCCAAGGGCAGAATGTTTAATAATTGTCTCTCCGCCCCCCACCCACATGCCCTCCCTTCACCAGCTAGGCCTGTGGCTGGCGCCTGCATCTACCTGGTGCTGCTCAGACTTGCCCCACAGGCCTGTAAACAGCAACTGCACCCCAGGGATGGGGTGGTGGCCTCCACCTCCCCAACCACATCTACCTCAGGACAAGGAGTGGGGGGTGACTCACAGAACCAAGTCCTTCCCATCTGACTCAGCCCCCAGGCCAAGTCTTTGTTAGGTATTTGCATGACCCAGGAGGTAGGGGCCAGAAGACCCATTCCAGGCCAGCCAGGCACCAGGAAAGTCCTGGGACTGGGGTCCCAAAGAGCCCCTCCTCATCTTGGAAGAGGCCCCCAGCACAGCTCAAGAGCTGGGTTCTTTCTGTCTCTTAGCTGTGTGGCCTTGGACAACCTGCTTAACTTTGCTGAGCCTTGATTTCTCATTTGTTACATGGGGATTAATAATATTTGAATAGAGCAGCTGTGATAGTACAGGTAGCTGATGTATTGTACGCTGACAAATCTCCATCTTTGGTTAAAAAAAAAACGGCAAAAAATGACCACCCCACTCCACTTATCTCTAATCCTCCCTTACCTGGTTTGTAAAAGCACCTGGCCTGCCCAAGGGTTGTTGTGAGGTTCAAAGGTAGTTATAAACATTTAAGTCTTTATAAAAATAGAAGGTGCACCTAGAAATGTAGCTTGGTTGGTAAAGTATTTGCCTAGCATGCATAAAGTCCTGGGCTCAATCTCCAGGGTACCCCCAGTACCACATAAACCTGGATATAGTGGCTCATAGCTATAATCCCAGCACTGAGGAAGTAAAGGTAGGAGGATCAGAAGGTCAAGGTTATCCTGGGCTACATAAAGGGTTTGAGGCTGGTCTGGGCTAGAGATCCTGTCTGAAAAGTTTTTTTTTTTTTGTTTTTTTTTTTTTAAGGGAAACAAAAAATGGAAAGAAATTGTACTTGCTAGTCTTCTAGAAGAATCTAACTCATCCCACGATATCTTCTCTCTCAGAACCTACATATTAGTGCCCTAAACAGTCTCCTGTTGCTCTCGTCATCTTAAGCCAAAGATACCCACTTTGGACAAAGAGGGAGCTCCCTTTGGATAGCACTACCCTCCAAAAGTAGGCTGGCAGGGAATGTTCCTTGCTTGTGGAGGCCTGCAATGAGCCAGGCTTTGTTCATCCTGTGTTTAATCCTTACCACCACCCTAGGCTGGGTTTAGATCACTGCTTTGCAGATAAGGAAACTGAGGCCAAGACTGGTTTGGAACCTTACTCAATGCCTTCTGGCTGGGAAGTGATGATGTCAGAATTCACACCCAGCTTCACATGACTACAAAGCCAGACTGTTCCTCCAGCCCCTGGACAAGCACCCAGGCACCTTGGAAAGTGAGAACCGTGAGTGAGGCCAGGAGGACCCACCCACGAGCGCACTGGGCAGGCTGTACTCCATGGTCTTGAATGGGAGCATAGTGAGTGTACCCAGCCAGCAGGCAGGAACTGAGGGCTGTCCAGAGCTCTGCTCTAGCTTCTTCTACCTTGGAAGCCAGGGAGAGGATTCATGACCCTCCATAAGAGAGGCAGCTTGTGTACCCCCAACCTCCACCACTTTTACCTAGCAGCACCAAGATAGCTCCCCACCCCAGGTCTGGAGGAGGAACATCTATCCTGCCCATGGGGAGAGCCACAGGTCACCCATGCTACCTCCAAATCTGGAATAGGGTCTCAGAAACCCAGGAGTCCTAGGTGCCCCACTGGAAAATAGGAGTGTGTGTAGGGGTTCTCTGGATGACCATTCCCCATGCTCAAGTGTACCACCTATGAGCACATATGGCTAGAAGGCCCATCCTTCAAGCAGGGCAGCCAACCCTGCCCTCATGGGGCTCCTGCTAGAGTTCTCAAACTCAGCTATGCATCCACATCCCCCATGGTTTCCCAGAAATGCAGATCTGGTTCTGTGGGCCTGGAGTGGAGCCTGAGATTCTGCCTATCTGAAGCAATAGTGTAGTGAGGTCAGGAATCATAGTGCCGATGCTGGAGTACATCAGATTCACCTGGGAAACCAGGGAAACAGGTAAACAAAGCAACCTGAGACCTAGACCCACCCTGGAGAGTCCCATCTCACTGGCATGATGTGACCAAGCTTGAGAATGCTCCATGGTGGGTGCAGCCTGAGAAGCCTTCACATAGCCTAAGGGAGAGAAGGCATTCTGGTGCAGGCATAGTACAAAGATAGAGCCAATCTCCCAGAATGTAATTATTGCTTTTATCTATTTATTTGTGTGTGTGTGTGTGTGTGTGTGTGCGCGCGTGTGTGCGTGCATGTGTGCATGCGTGCGTGTTGTCATGGAACACATGTGAAGGTCAGAGGATAACTTTTGGGAGTTGGTTCTCTCCTTCTATCATGTGGGTTCAGAGGATCGAATTCAGGTCATCAGGTTTGGCAACAAGTGCCTTTACCCACTGAGCCATCTTGCTAGTCCATGATCTTCCTGATTTAAGCATCTGCTATGTACCAGGCCCAGCACAGTGCTGCCTACACCAATCTCGCTCATCTTCCTGTGACACTAAGAAGCTGGGTATAGTCATCCTGATCTACACATATGGGTACTGAGACTCTAAATAGTTAAAGCCACTGACCCAACTCCAAGATCTTAAGTGACACAGCCACATCTGAAGTCCAGATCTGTCTGATGTTATGGTCAAGGTCTCCCCCTACCCAAAAGACAATGTCACAGGAAAGATGACTTTAGAAATAGGCTGTGAAGGTGGAGCTGTGTGTGAATCCTGATTCCAACAGATTCTCCTCTCTGGGCCTGGGTTTCCTCATCTCCTTGAATATGGGAGAATCAGATGGTCCCAACACCCTTCCCAGCACGTCCATCCTGTGAGTCCAGGATCCGAGGTTTCACAAATGCTCTCTTTCTCTCCCTAAAGATATAAAGTACATTGAAGTGGCCTCCACCAGATCAAGAGGCCTCGATGGCCCCCAGCACTGCTCCAATCCATCCGTCACCCCTCCCTTTGGTTCTCCACGAAGTGGTGGGCTCCTTCTCTCCAGAGACATCCCTCGAGAGACTCGAAGCAGCAGCGAGAGCCTCATCTTCTCTGGGAATCAGGGCAGGGGTCCCTCTCCCCATTCCTCCTCTTCCTCCAACATCTCCATCCCTTGTGAAGGGAACAGGGCCTCAGGCTCCCCTCTGGCAACTTCTCCAGGTTTGGAGAAGGGGCTGAGGGCCCAGCGGGGCAGTAGGGTCTCTGTGCTGTCAGCCAGTCCAGCATCAGATGTCAGCTATGTGTTTGGAAGGTAGGTTCTGTGTTCATGACCTTGCTTGCCTGGCAACACACACACACACGCACACACACAGACACACACACAGACACACAAACACACATCATACAGGGGTGCCCTCTTCTGTGAACAAAATGCATATATATCAAAATTAATAGAGTGTGCATTATCTTTGCTACCATGAGAGCCCTTCAGATCTCAAGCTTTCCCTCAAAGCAGTTAGACCATGATTCAATGCACAAAACTCTTGGCTTCCATCAAGGTTTTCAGAACAGAGTGCTACTTCAATGAGACTCAACCTGTCTCCTTTCCAGACCTCTAATGACCCATCTCAAGGAAGGGCTTTTAAAACTCAGGATGTACGTAGACTTGGGGGTCTGAGGTGAAGCATCCTGGAATGAAAACTTCCCTTCCTTGTGCTGTTGGTTAAACCTTGTAGGAGGGACCGACCCCCTGGGTCTTATTTATGGTGGTGCCAGCTCTCTTATTAGACCTCACAGCAGAACTACACAATCACTCCATCCTGCCCCAGGAAAACCAAACCACAGAGCCTCAGTCCCACACACCAACTCCAAAGCCACTGGCCAAGGCAGTCCCTGGCTAAGAGGCCAGGGACCACACCACTATGCCTGCTGGATTGGTGAGGAGCTGACTTCCTCTTCTTCCAGGTGAAGCATTCCCTCAGCATTAGCCATGGACATATCCAAGCCAGGTCCAGCCTCTCTGTGGGTTTCTTAAGAGAGATAGGCAGGGGAGAGCCTAGTGTGACAGTTCAGTCAGACCTGCCTGGTTGGGAAGGCAGAAGGAATCCAGACCAATTTAAGCTCACTTGACCTATGGGAGGTCAATCCCTGTAGCTAGTTTAAATGACAAAAGACCCTATAGTTCAGGGAAGTTTCTGTACCCTTCGGCAGCCCTTGGGAATCCGATGGGAATATTCTTTATTCTGAGTTTGGAGTAGTGATATGCAATGCTCAATTTGGCCAAAGATATGGCACCCAGATGGCTAAATTTCAGAACCTAGCCTAGCTCCAAGTACCCACTCAACACCCTAATACCTTGTCTGTTCTTTCCTGAAGCAGCCAGTCCCTCCTCCACTCTGGCCTCTCCAGCCATCAGTCATCTTCCAGATCCTTGGAAAGCCCAGCCAGCTCTTCCTCCAGCCTCCACAGCCTTGGTCCAGGGTCCCAGTATGTGAGACCCTGGCATGTCCAGGCCCCCAGCAACCCCACCATGAGCATGGGCCAACCAAGAGCAGCCCACTCCTCTCCAGTGACCAAGGAGCAGGCCAGCAGCTGCCCCGCATCTATCACCAACTCCATGGTGGACCTACCCATTGTGTTGATCAACGGGTACCCAGAACCACAGTCTCCTCCACCCCTGCAGATACCAGGGCACCGGGGCTCTATCCAGTTTGCAGCTGCTTCTCCCAGCCACCTCGGTCAGGCCATCATGAGACACAGCCAGACTCTGCTGGATGCTCCCTTCACTGCATCTCCACAGGGTACGTTGTAAACCCACACCTCCATCCCTGAAAGGTTTGGGGCTAGACAAAGACCAATGGGTTTCACCAATAGCTAATCAACACTTTTACTGAGTACTTACTATATGCCCAGCACTGTGCCAGGCTCTAAGGAAGCACGTCTAAAAACAGTGGTCAAAACCAAGACTCTCCATAGGGTGGAGTCAGCACAGTGGTAGAGAGGCCCCATGCGTGACAGAAGGAGTGACTGGAGAACAGAGGAAGTGACATCTAAGCTGGACCTGGAAGCCAATCAAACCAAGGAAGGAAAAGCAGAGAGATCTGGGACCCCATAGGTAGGGCAGCGTGCTAGCTGAGCATAATAAGGAAACTCCTGGAATGTTCAGTGTTGGGCTAGGTCATTGAGAATAATGGCAAGGTTCTATAAGGCCTAGAACACCAAACTAAAAAGTGGATTTTACCCTTTAGACAACAGGGACCATCAGAGAGTAAAGCCAAGGGGATGTGTGGTCAGCTGTGCAGGTGTGATGTTTTACCCTGGAAGCTCCCTGACAGAAGGGTTACAGAGCTCTGCAGACAGAGGTGGGCAGTTGGGGTGGAGGGGAGAAGACAGAGCTGGGTAACCCTCAGGATGCCTGAGCCAGGAGGGCTGGTGATTAACCCAGGAGAGTCAGAGGGCGCCCAGTCCTCACTTTGATGTTTGTTCCTGGATGATGAAAACCCAGAGGAGGCCAATGGGGAATGGAGACAATGCTTTCCAACTCAGACAGCTGAAAACCACAAAACAGCAAACACCCTGCTTCTCGGAGCCTGTGACTACAGGCATCCAAAAAGAACACAATCCACCAGACCCACAGCAGTAAACACAGAGGCTGAGCCATAGCACCCCCTGGGTGCACACCTCCCAGGAGCAGAGGCACAGGGACATTGTTCCAGCTGCCCCTCCATCAGCCATGTACAACAGAGCTTGGCTCTGCCTTCGGCATCCAGGGTGACTCCTGGGGGTGTGGGCTGCACACTCTAATCCATTGTTTACTCTACATAGCAATACAAGCAGAAGAAAATGGTACCTTGAATGTGCCCTTATGAACATTTTACATGAGTGTGAGTACATGCTATGGCAGTCTTGGAAGTCAAAGGACAACTTTGTGGAGTCAGTTCTTCCTCCACCTTGACATGGGCTCTGAAGATTGAAATCAAGTCATCAGGCTTTCACGGCAAGCACTCTTCTTACCCACTGAACTGTCTCGCCAACACTTTTTCTAGCTTTTGAGATGGGTCTCACTCTGTAGCCAGGCTACCTTCTAACTCAATGAAATCCTCCTGCCTCAGACTCCCAAGTACTGGGATTACAGGCATGTATCACCACTCCTGTTTTTATATTGTGACTGGGGATCAAACCCAGGCCTTCATGCATGCCAAGCAAGGACTCTACCCACTGAGCTACATTCACCTTTGAATTTGCTTCTATCACATTCCTAGAACAAACCATTTGCAGACTGTAGCATGCTTTTCATAATAAGTTATACATACTTTGATACCAGAATTGAGAACCATTGCTCTCTGCCTTCAGGGCCCAGGAACATGGGGATTTGGGCAGTTCACAAAGAACACATGCATAGCATAGCCGGCCAATATGGTGATGTCCAAAGCTGTCACTAGTTATACCCAAGGTCTTACCAATATGAAAAATATCCTCTAGCCAAAATTCACTTCCATGGGCTGGGGGTATGGGTCAATTGTGAAACACTTGCCTAGCATGCACAAGGTCTTGGGTTTGATCTCCAGCACTGGAAAAATACTCATTTTCCATTTCATAAGCTCTGGGAACATTTAAGACTCCAAGGAGTTGTTTAGCCCGCTTTGTCTCTTCTGGGCTTTAGGAGTTAATCCCAGATCAGCCAAGAACCAGACTTCAGGTTGCTGAAGTCTTCCATCCAGGTCTGCTGCTTTCCTGCCCATTACCTTTTCTTTTGTTTGCTTTCCCACCCTGAATAAACCACTAAGGAACTCTTAGAATTATTATAAGGGAGGGAATGTGAGATCAAATGTGTACCTGAGGACCCTTTATGAATCAGTCCCCACCAGGCACTAGTAGGCATGTTATCCATTTGGCCTTGATTCATTACCAAGAATACAAGGGTACTTTAAGCCCTAAAATCCTTCTATTTGGTTTTTCCCTTGGTGTTTGTCCATTTTTTTTTAATTTTATTTTTTATTTTTATTTTATGTATTGCCTGCATGTAGGTAAGTGTACCCATGTCGTGCAGTGCCTGTGGAGGACAGAACAGGTTGTTGGATCCCCTGGACCTGGAGTTACAGACAGTTGTTAGCTGCCATGTGGGTGCTGGGATTCAAACCTGGGTCTTCTGCAAGAACAGTGTTCTTAACTGCTGAGCCATCTCTCCAGCCCCTGTCTGTCCATTTTTGAGACAGGGTCTCTTGTAGTCTAAGGTGGCCTTGAACTCACCATGTAGCACCAAGGATCACCTCAGACTTCTGATCCTCCTACTTTACCTCTCAAGTACTGGGGTTATAAGTGTGCACCACCATGCCTGGTTTATGTAGTACTAGGGATCAAAACCGTGGCTTCATACATGGTAGACAAGCACTCTACTCACTGAGCTATAGCCCCAGCTTGAGTTTCCTCTTTAGGTCATTTGGAGAGACCCTGGAGATGGGCTGGTGGAGGGCGGTGGAATGGGACTGCTGGGCAGAGGAGCAGATTTCCAGCATTCTCTCTGGTCATCCCTCAGCAATTCTCTATCCAGCCTACAGAGTCCACCTTCTCTGTCTCCAGGTCCTGCCAGGGATATGCAGCCCACCATGAAGTTTGTGATGGACACATCGAAATACTGGTTTAAGCCAAGCATCACCCGAGAGCAAGGTAAAAGGCAACACTATTTCAGGGGTCAGGTGACCCAGTTAGCAGGACTGATCCTGCACGTAGCAGCAGGCAGATGGGACCTTGGGGCATGATAATAAAGGGAGTGGTCAATAGCAGGCCTGAGGAAGGGAGGGTGATCTGCTGATCTGATGAGATGATAGAAACTGCAGCAAAACTTGCAAAATGAGGTAAGAGAAAGGACTTTCTGGGAGCAAAAGATTCTGTAAGTTCTCTCTGAAGTCCCTGTGGGGATGGGAACAGAGAGTGTCCCTGTACAGTGGGATCTGCCTCTGATCCAAGCATCATTCCAGCCATCAATCTGCTGAGGAAGGAGAAGCCAGGGGCCTTTGTCATCAGGGACAGTTCCTCCTATCGAGGCTCCTTTGGCCTTGCCCTGAAAGTCCAGGAGACCCCAGCATCTGCCTCAAACCAACCAGGTACGTACCTGTTTGCTTGCTCACCTCAAAGATTATGCCATGGTGGACTCTGTCCCAGCCTGACAGCAGCTATCAGGATGACTTTAGGAGGAGAGTTTGCCTCCTGGTTCTCCCAGCTGCCCACCAGCACCCAGGAACCTTGGAAAGCATCTCTGAAAGCCTGAGGTGCCCCTGCCTTCCCATTTCCCTGTTCCACAGAAGGGAAGAGGAGGAGGAAGGTCCCAGTCCCTCCTCGGGCTGCCCTCTCCTGGGCCTCACCTCAGTCCAGCCTGGATTCTTCTCCAGGAACCTAAAGTGGTGTTAACGTGTGCATACTGACTTATCACACGTGTGATAGCTTATCACATGTGTAATAGATAATCACACAGTGATAGCTTATCAAGCGCTTAATAGCTCATCACGTGTATAAGCTCATCACGTGTGAGAGCTTATCACATGCATGTAATAGCTAAGCACACATGTGTGATAATTTATGTACTTTCCTATGATCTCATATGTTCATCTGGTAACTCAGCACACATATCTGAGGGATTTACCATGTGTCAGACACTGTGTTAGGAACCCGGATACAGAGGAATTTCATGCAGAAACCACTTTACTAGGGAGATAAATGATAACAAATACAGTACAAAGTCCCTGGGTTAGTCTCCTCACCTAACCTAATTGTGAGTCTCAGAGAGCTAATGATTTCTGAAGAACTAAGAGATGGAATGAAGCCAGGTATGGTGGCACTCTCCTTTAATCCCAGCACTCAGAAGGCAGAGGCAGACAGATCTCTGTGAGTTCAAGGCCAGCCTGGTCGCCATAGCCAGTTCCAGGCCAGCTGGGACTACAGAGAGACCCTGTCATAAAAAAAGCGGCGGGCGGGGGGAATGAATATGAGGGTGAACCATGCAATCTCGTGTTAGTAGCAAAGGTTTGGGGGCGGGTGGCTCAGTGGTAGAGGAATTGCCTGGTATGGGTACAGCGCCCAGTGTGGTGTTGGGGATGAGGAGAACAGCCATCTCTGGAGCAACTGTTAGTTTTCAAGGAAGCCTTTCAGTGGCAGTGATCCCAAGTGGAAGAGGAAGCTGTGGTTGGTAAAGAGTCAGAGGCCACCACAGTGCCTCTCAGAGACAGCCCGGCTTCTGCAGGGTGAGCTAGTGGGAAATAAGGGCACCAGGAATGAGCTGGGGAGATTTAAAAACCAGACTGAAGAGCTGATATTTGGTCTAGGAGGTAATTAAGAACCATCCCTGAGCTGGGCATGGGACGCCTTTAATCCCAGCAGTTAGGAGGCAGAGGCAGGCAGATCTCTGTGAGTTCAGGCCGACCTAGTCTAGGGCTACAGGGAGACCCCATCTCAAAAAGACCAAAAAAAAAAAAAAAACCTGAAACTCTTAAGCTTTTCTTCTGACTGGGAATTTCTGGACACTGACACCTGAGCCTATGCTGCACCTCCTTTGGGAAAGCCCTGAAGCAGGCTCCTTATCTGCAGGTCCACTGGAAGACAGGGGCTGGCAAGACAACCTTGGGGTGGACTCAGAGGGAGGTCAGGGTCAGGGCCAAGTGGACCAGGGTTTTGCTAACACTGGACTGTGGTGACACTCCATCCTCGTTCTTTGTTCAGGCGAGGACAGCAGTGACTTCATCCGACACTTTCTGGTCGAGTCTTCTGCCAAAGGGGTGCATCTGAAGGGAGCAGATGAGGAACCATACTTTGGTAAGCCTCCCCATCCTCCAGCAGCCTCCAGGCCCTAGGCTGGGGCTCTGTCTCTTGCACTGAGGGAGACTGGGGAAGCCCTACTCACACAGAGCTTCCTGTTCCTTGCAGGGAGCCTCTCAGCCTTTGTGTGCCAGCATTCCATCATGGCCCTGGCCCTGCCCTGCAAACTCACCATCCCACAGAAAGGTAGGTGGAGGTCCCAAGGAAGCTGGATCAGAGTGCCAGACCTGTTGGTTCACACTAGAAAGACTCCCAGTGGCCACATCTACCTTGTTTATGAATTTTTTAGGGTCAGTGTCACAAGTGCCTGCCCTGGACCAGGTCCACATCTCTCCTTCCCAACTGTGAGCCTCAGTGTCCTCTCTATAAAGGATAAAACAACCATCCTTAGACCTACCTAAAGTAGCAGGGCTCCGATCAGTGACATTGCTTAGGCAAGACTTGCAGCACAGTGCCTGGTACAAAATAGACCTTTGAGAAACTGAAAGACCTTTCATCCTTTGAGAGGATGAAAGAGGTTAAATCTAACAGTTTGGAGAAGGAAGTTCTATGCCCCCCCCCACACACACCCCACCATCCTCATAGCTCTTATCCACTGCCCCATTTCATAGATAAGAAAATGAAGTAAAAGCCAGCATATAGGAGACTGAGGCAAGATAATCATGAATTTGAGGCTCTATATAGTGAGTCCCAGTCCTGTTGTAGAAAGACTCTAACAAAAGGAAGGGAGGGAGAGAGGAAAAATCAGTGAGGTCCTAGGCTTAATTAGCTGGTCCACAGGCCTGCAGAGTCAACCTGAACCCAGGTCAGCAGCACCATCTACAGCATGCAGCCCAGCATGACCCATACTGAGTAGGTCATCTCAGAATGGGTCATCTCAGAGTAGGTTATCTCAGAGTGGGTCATCTCAGAGTAGGTTATCTCAGAGTGGGTCATCTCAGTTGTGCAGAGGGAAGTAGAGAAGGGCAGGAAGAGTCTAGAACAAGGAATGGAGACAGCATCCCTACTCTGCAAAAAAAGAGCCTGGGGTTTGGAGTGGGTCCAAAAGAAGAGGTCAAGGGCTTGTGAGGACAGGTCACAGCAGTGGCTATGTGGGAGGCTGGGGGTAGAGGTAAGAAGGGATCAAAAGGCTTGCAAACTAGGCAAAGTGGTCCCCATTTCCCTAATTGCTGTAATAATCACACCTGGCTTCTCAGTCTATCACTTCCTGGAGATGGAGGCAGCTGTGGGAGGTGTTCAAAGGGACTCAGAACAGGGTTCCCTCACTTCACCCCGGCCCCTTGGGGCCCTGGTTCTTTTTGCCTCTATTTAGAACTGGGAGGTGCAGACCCAGCATCTGACTCCCCCACACAGAGTCCAACCTCTTCCTTGAAGATATCCGCAGGTGAGTGGTATGGGGAGGTGCCAGGCTTGCTGCACCTCCCAGCCCTACACGCAGGCATACACACATAAGCACATGCAGGCCCACATGTTTCCTATCACTGCTTTGTGTCTGTAGCCTTAACAAGCCACTGCATCCCCCTCAGCTCCATAAACCAAGAGACAAAGGCTGATGCTGTGGGCCAGCAGGGAGGTACATAGACTGGGTTAGGGGGTTGCTTATAGGCTGACATCTTGAACATACTGCACACATGTCTGTATACTAGGATCTCACTGTGTCTGAGATTCCTGCCCTTGGGGTGTTTAGTAGGCCAGGATGCTATGTGTCAGGTGAGTTCTGAATCCTGGGACTACAGCCCAGGAAAGACTCCTCCCCACTTCCAGAGGCCAGGCATCCATCAGCACTGAGCAAGACCTCCTACTCTGTGCATCCTGCCAAAAGCACAAAGGCACCCCTCCCCCCATTCATTCTTTCTCTCCTGAATCCCACCAAGGGAGTTAGGTTAGTCAAACATAGAGGAAAGGAAGTTTTCCTAGAAACCCCTACATACAAGGCACCTTCTCTTTACCCCCACCCCCTGGAAAGCCAAGAACCCAAACAGTGCAAAGCAACAGACATCTCAAAATTCTCTGGATCGGTTTCACATTTTGGTCACCCATATACTCCCTGCCTATTTGGTGGCTCTAAGAGGATCCCACTGGATTCCTGAAAAAGCACAGCATCCCCTCCCCTGCTCCTGTCCCTGGGCAGAGGGAAGATGGGGCTTCAGTGATCCCCACACACTGCAAGAACCCTGGCTGCAGACCTAGCTCAGTCTCTGTATCCCACAGGCTGTCACACCCTGTACCTGAACTCTGTGAGCATGGAGACCCTGAGTGGAGCCCTGGCTGTGCAGAAAGCCATCTCAACCACCTTGGAAAGGGAGGTCCTCCCCACACCCACCGTGGTCCACTTCAAAGTCACTGAGCAAGGCATCACCTTGACTGATGTGCAGAGGAAGTAAGAGTCTCCCCTGGCCCTGGGATAGCAGGGCTGGCTGGCAGAGCAGGGCTGGAGGGAAGGATGAGACAGCCCAGCATCAGTGATAAGGGCAGAGTTCAGGGCCCCTAGATTCAATGAAGCTAGTAAAGGTTGGGTGACGCTGGACAAATTGTCTGCCTTCTCCGGGGCTCACTCTGCCAACCCCTTGCCAAAGCCTCCAGCATTGGGACCGACAGGGATGAAGTAAGCCAGTTTTCCTTGGGTGCTGATTAAGTCTGCACCCACTGGTGGAGCCCCTAGGACAGAGTGCAATGAGATCACTCTTTTCTGGGGCTTGGGGACTCAGTCTAGCTAGAGTCTTTAGCTAGGATGGCAATAGAGGACCAGATGTAACTCCTAGCCTCAAAAAGTTAGTGGCAGGGGGTGGGAAGCAGAAGACCCAAGTACGAGGGCACGGGGTAGATACATCCCATGAGGGAGACACAACCTGAGTCCTCACGGCCTGTAGTGAGAAAGTATGACAGGTTGTAAGAATCCTACTGGGGTGGGAGGTACTGGAGAGATGGCTCAGCAGTTAAGAGCACTGACTGCTCTTACAAAGGACCTGGGTTCAATTCTCAGCATCCACATGGCGGCTACAAACCGTCCTTAATTCCAGTTCCAGGGGAATCCTGAAGCCCTTTTCTGACCCCCGCTGCATTGCACAACACAGGTGCACTCACATACATGCAGGCAATACGCTTGTACACACAAAATTAAAAAAATAATAAAATATTAAAAAATCCTACTGGGACAGGACACCTAAGCTTTGGGGGCACCAGAGATGCCAGGAGCATGTGGAGAGACACTCACCAGCTTCCCTTTCCCCTGCTTCCACCCAGGATATTTTTCCGACGCCATTACCCACTTACCACCCTCCGCTTCTGTGGCATGGACCCTGAGCAACGCAAGTAAGTTCAAGACTGGGCCAAGCTAAGAAGGTCATCCAGGGCCTAGCTTCCCCGCACAGTGTCTGCTGACTCTGAGACCGAAATAGTAGAGAAAGCCTATGAACTCTAAGGGGTCAGAGATGAAACCAGGTGGGGAAGGGCTCGAATGGAGACACTCATCAGGGTCCTAAAGAAAGTGGCCTTGTCACTCATTCCTGTTCTGTCCCTTTCCCACAGGTGGCAGAAGTACTGTAAACCCTCCAGGTAAGCTCATCCCACCATTCAATAGCTCTAAGAGGTGTCCCCATGCTAGGGCGCCAGACTCAAGAGAGACGGGACAGCAGGCTTAGTAGCAAGTACCTGTAATCCCCACATTCAGAAGGCTGACACAGGAGGATCACTGTGAGTTCGAGGCCAGCTTAATCTAATAGTTAGTTCTAGGTAAGCCTAGTCTCTATAGTTAGTTCCATGCTAACCAGACTACATAGTAAAAATAAGTTAATAAATACGCAACCCTGGACTGGAGGTGTTAGCACTTTCCTAGCATGTGTAATGCCCTGGGTTCCATTCAAACTGCTGCCAAAAAAACCAAAACAGAAAAAGAAAAAGGAAGGAGCCTCCAACTCATCTTAAGAGCTCATATGGCACTGGCCCTGTCCTCAGGGAGCCTGTCTGATGAGAGGAGACATGAGCCTGGAGCCCTAGGTCTTATGTGAGAGGCACAGGCTCAATCTCAGAGAGCTGTAGGGATGATGGTCAAGTACATCTTTGCCCTAGGGGAGCTTCCAAGTTCTGTCCTCTAGAAGCTCCATTCAAAATGAAGGAGACTTAAGAGGGTGAAATCAGGGCTCTCCAGTCTGGCAGGGGAGGCACCCTCTTCTTTCAGCTACGTCATTAGAAGAAGGTACTGAAGGGACTAGGGAGATGGCTCAGTGGATACAGTGCTTGCCACACTTAAGTGTGAGGACCTGAGCTCAGATTCCCAGCACCCATGTAAAACACCAGGCACAGTGTGTCTATAACCAAGCACTGGAGAGGGAGAGACAGGCAGACTGCTGGAGTTCATTGACTAGCCAGTCGAGCCAATCAGTGAGCTCCAGATTCAGTAAGAGACCATGTCTCACAAACAGTAGAAAGTGGAGAGGTGGCTCAGTGGTTAAGAGCACTGGCTGCTCTTGCAGAGTACCCAGGTTCAGTTCGCAGCACCCACATGGCAGCCAACAACCATCTATAACTCCAGTTCCAGGGGATCTGACACCCTCTTCTGACCTCCATGGGCATTGCATGACATGGGTGCACTTACATACATGTAAGCAATGCACTTATGCATATAAAGCAAAAGTAATAAAATATGTTTTAAAAAAGTAGAGGGTGATTGAGAAAGAGACTCAGCATCAACCTCTGACTTACACACACACACACACACACACACACACACACACACACACACATACACACATGCACACACCCACATGAACATGTGCACACCCTCACACAGATACACACTCACACGATGCTGAAACCAGTTGGGTGGGGGTAGAAATGAGGTGCAGACTGAGTGCCTTCCCCATTCAACCCTCCCCTCAGCATGATACCTCTCAGACCCACCCCTACTCAGACTGCCCTCTCTCACCAGGATCTTTGGGTTTGTGGCGAAGAGCCAGACGGATCTGCAACAGAATGTATGCCACCTCTTTGCGGAGTACGATGCTGTCCAGCCAGCCTCCCAGGTCATCAGCCTGGTGACTGCTCTGCTTCAGGACACAGAAAAGATGTAGGAGGAGGGAACTGCCTGTGCACCTTCCCTGACATCTCAAAAGACTTTCCTTGGACAAGGAGCTATGACTACATTGACAGACCTGTCTGTCAGACCTGAGGACAAGTTGAAGCCCTGGACCCTGCTGTGACCTGCGTTCAGCAGTTACCTTCATCTAGACCCTTGGGCCTCACTTTCTTCAGCCATTAAAAGAGGCCAGTCAACAAGACAGCTCTTCTTTGGAAGCTGTGCTGGGCAACCTGAATATGCTCCTCTCTGATTCTGAAACACACCCACATCCAAGGTTCTGTGTGAAAGTCACCTGCAAAGACCCTCTGGCTCCATCAGCCTGGACACTCCCTACATGGAAGGCTGAGCTACAGACCTGTGACCCCTGCCTCACAGCAAATAGCAGGTGCTAGGTCAGAATTCATAGGTTTCCTGGCCAGAGGCTGGTGATGGTATGTGAGGACTGGGGACGAACTCCATTCAATTCTACAGCTGTTCCTTTCCTCACTTTCCTGAGGGCCTTCTGGATCCATTGACCCAGGATTCTTTTCTTTTCAATAGATTTAAAGGTTTGGGGCCAAGGATGTAACTAAGTTGGTAGAATGTCTCACATGTGGGCTGGGTTTGATCCCCAGCACCACATAAACCAAGTGGTGGTTGAATGCCTCTGGGGGAGGCAGAAGCAGGAAGGTCAGAAGTTCAAGGTCATTCTTTCCTACATAATGAGTTTGAGGCAGCCTGAGCTACATGAGATCCTGGAGAGAGAAAGAGACAGACAGACACAAGAGGCAGAGGTCTAAGGTTTTATTTTTTTACAAATTGCAACTTATAAACACCAAAGCCCTCATCTATAGAGACCACACCCCAATTCAGGCCTGGGGCACTACTCCAGGAAGCCATATCCTAGCAGGCTCGGACAGGAAACTGGGCCGAAAGCCTCAACCAGAGCATAGCCATAGTGCGTGCACCCCATGATGCAGCCCACTTAAGCTCACTTTGGGAAACCCATCGAATGCATTTTTTTCTCAAAATTGGTGTCCCAAGTCTGAATACAGCACGGACAGCGCAAGTTCTCATACCCCTGCTTTGCAATCAGGCGCCGTCTGCATGGCCTTCTCTAATGCGGTATTCAAAGTTCTCTCAGCTTTTGATCTAGTTCATGCAGTGTTGGTTTTGATCAACTCCCAACCATCTGGCAGAACTTTCTGGCTTCTTTCAATTTTAGGCATCCCCCAACAAGATAATTTGCAAAGGTCTTGGGATCTTTTTCCTATGAGTATGATAAAAAGATCCCTGGTCTCTACAGTTCTAGGCTTGGATTCTTGTCCACCTTTATCAATTATCCTGTGATGTTGGAAAGATCACTTTCCTTCTTTGGTCTAAAGTCGACTTGGAAGCTCAGGTGCCTGGGCTTCTCTCCATTGCTGTAATGTTGCTTGCATAACCCACATCTCGTGGATAGGGGAAGAGAGACCCTGTTATGCTATAGGGCAGATATAAATACATCTCTCTGTGGCTCTGCTCTAACAGTCTTCTGGGTCTTCCTGCCCCAATGCGTATGACACACACACACACACACACACACACACACACACACACACACACACCGCTCTACAACTATGTGGTGGCCACTGACCTTACAACCACAAGGGGGCAGCAGAGAGTCAATGCAAAGAGCTTCCCCAGCTGGCTGGATGATGCTAGGCTCTTTTCCCACACCCAGTCTGCCCTGCAAAAGCTGAAGCTCTCTGTCCATCTGGCCTGCTTCTTAAGAAACCATTTCATGGGTTGCAAAGGAAAGTTCAAAGAAGAAGCCCACTGTAGCTTAATGTGGAGCAAGTTTGTTCTCTTCCATCATCAGCCTACAAAGCATCATCATCTTTGGTCAAGATCAAGGCCCAAGGGATTATAATTTCAACCTAGGAAGCCAAACCAGTCTAGAGGGGTCCTGGGCTGGTGAAATAGGCTGAGACCAGCCCTCCTAGCCTATAACTAGGTACTGCTCCACCCCTGGGGTTTGCAGGATGTTAACAAAGTTTCTCCAACTAGTAGTGCCTGGTCCTAGACTGAGTGGTAGAGTCCTCCACATTTTCCCAGGTGCCTCATGAAAAATAAATCTTTGCACAGTTGGTCCTGGGCATTCAGTGCTATCTCAGATGAGTCCTGAACAAAGAGGACCAAATATAGCCCATGGTAACTCTCAGAGACCAGGTGTGATTCTGCCTCCCAGACACTTGCACAACTGTACACACACAACTGACTTCTGCTTCTCAAACCCTGGTTTAAACCACTCTGAAACCCACAAGCCTCACACACCCACTTTGCCCTCTTCGAGACCCCTTTTCTGCTCTGCCGAGGAAACTAAGGACAGGGTCTTCTGTGTCTGGGGCCTAAGGAGTCCATGGCACTCCAAAGGGTTCAGAGGTCTCACCCAGCCTCCCTGAGGAATGAGGATAGGCAGGAGAAGCTGGAACTGCTCAAAGAGAATGTATTAGTTAGCTTTCTATTGCTGTGATAAAATACTGGCCAAAAACAGCTTGGGGAAGAAAAGATTTATTGCATCTCACATTTTAAATTTATTTTTATGTGTATGAGTGTTATGCCTGTATGTGTGTAAGTGTACCCATGTTGTGCAGTGCCCTAAAAGGACAGAAGAGGGTGTTAAATTCCCTGGAACTGGATATGGACAGTTGTTAGCCACCATGTGGGTGCTGGGATTCAAACCAAGGTCGTCTTCAAGCACAGCCAGTGCTCTTAACCACTGAGCCATTTCTCCAGTCCCCACATCACACACTTTCAAGAGTGAAAGGGAAGCCAGGTCAGGAACTGAAGGCAAGGACCTGGAGGCAGAAGCTGAAGCAGAGACCATTGAAGAATACCACTTACTGGTTCGCTCCCCTGGCTTGCTTCACCAGTTTTCTTATAAAGCCAGGGCCCACCTTCCCAGGTGTGGCACCCCCACACGCAGTGGGCTGGGCCCTCCTGCATCAATTAACAAGAAAAATGCCTCACAGACATTCTCACGGGCCAGTCTGATGGAAGAAATTTCTCATTTTAGGTTCCCTCTTCCCAGGTGACTAGTTTGTGTCAAGTTGACAGAACTAACAGGCACAGGGAGTCAGGAGGAATCCCCAACCCAGACTACCCTTGAGCCACTAGTTCAGCTCCCAGGACCTGGTTCTCTTGTGCCCCTGCTTTGCCAGCTGACAGTTCTCCCTGCTCCCCTGCCCCAGGGTAATGGCCCCTCCACACTCGCTTCAGGCCTTGTAGTAGGGAGACATGCTGTGAGTACATCACAAGGGGACAGCTATACCATATCTACTTCCTGACAGAGCCTGGGGGATGCAGGAGACCCTCCTCTTTGAGCTGTGCTACAGGGACAGGGTGGCAGGGTGCCTTTGACCGGCCTGTACAGAAAGCCTCCCAACAGCCTCAACCCCACCCATGGTTGACTAGCCTCTACCTCCCCTCCCACGTCTCAACTGTGGCCCTAGCCTGGGGACCCTCTCAGCGCCCTGCCTGGCACTCTGGGTTCAGCCTCAGATAGACACCAGAGAGGGCGATAGTCTCTTCCATTATCTTAGTTCATCTTACCTCTAAGGAGATTTAGCAGAGAACTTGCCTTGGACTTTTGTTAATGGAACCAGCAGCCACCCCAGCAGGACTTTGAAGGCTGGGGGACAGAAGGGAAGAAGTGCAGTCACCAAACAGCCAGGAGCCAGCAAGAGTGGCAGGAGGGAGGTCTGTACATGCAGTAGAACAATCCTGGAAATTTCTTTCCAGGAGGTTCTAGGACTTAGTCTTTGGTTTTAGCCCTTCCCTATACCTTACCCCACCCAAAGTGCCTCTTCCCCAGTCTTTTTTAAAATTTTGATTTATTTATGTGTGTGTGTGTGTATGTGTGTGATGTGTGTGCGTGTAAGACCATATACATGTGGAGGTCAGAAGACAGTTCTCTCCTTCCACCTTTCTATGGGTCCTGGGGATTGAACTCTGGTTGTCAGGCTTATACAGCAAGTGCTTTACCCACTGAGCTATCTCACCAACTTTTTTTTTTTTTTTTTTTTGAGACAAGCTCTCCCTAAATAGGCCAGACTGGTCTCAAGCTTTCAGTCCTCCAGCCCCAGGCTCTTGAATACTGGGATTACAGGCCTTTGCTACTGTATCAGACTTTCCTCCAGTCATCCCTTTCTCTGTGTGCACACGGTCACCACCCACCTCCCTTCCACTCTCTCCTACCCTGTCAGTCTTCCTCACCCCTCTCTCCAGCCACCCCCCAACTCATGCCCATCCTCTCCATCCACAGAAAGCCAGTCCCTCCCTTGCTTTTTTCAGTATCACTGCCTTGCCTCTTTGCCCAGGTGGCTGAATCCACAAAAAAGCCCAGCTGCTGAGGAAGTTGAGGCAGCCCTTGCACTAAGATGAACTAACAGACTCAAAAATTCAGATTTATGGGCTGGAGACATTGCTCAGTGGTTAAGAACAGTGGCTGCCCTTGCAGAGGACCTGGGTTCAGTTTCCAGCACCCACATGATGGCTAACAGCTGTCCATAACTCCAGTTCCAGGGGATCGGATGCCCTCTTCTGGCCTCCATGGGCATTGCATAACAAGGGTGCACTTACATACATGCAGACAAAGCATTCATACACATAAAAAAACATTTTAATTAATTAAAATTTTAAAAAATAAAAATAATTTTTAAAATTTAAAAATCCAGTTTTTCATACCCATAAACTCACCCCCTCTGGGCCTAGGAGGCCGCCTTTCTGGAAGGCTTCGCCTACTGACTACCTCCTCCCCACACTCCTGCCTCACTCTGGCAGAGCCATTCACCTGGCTGTTGCTCTTGGCCTCTGGGTCTTCAGTCTCCAAATCTGAGGAGGACTCAGGACCAGGAAGGGACTAGGGACTAAGCCTCCTGTATCGAGGCAATGAACATTTCCTGGCAGTAAGTTGGTCTGTGTGAACTGGGAAAGCATAAATACAGGCGTGCTAGAGGACAGGTAGGTAAGTGTCCTGAAGACCTGGCAGGAAGAGGAGAGGCAGGTCAGCTTCACCCACTGAAAGGAATGAGGACACTGTTAGCATTGCAGTTGGGTCTTCAAGGGTGAACAAGAGTTTTCCCAACTTTATTTCTTTTTGATGGTGATGGGTTTTGGAGGGGGTTCTTTTTTAATTAATTAATTTACTTATTTGTTTTTATTTTATGTGTATGAGTGCTATGCCTGCATGTGTATAAGTGCACCTGCGTCGTGCAGTGCCTGTAGAGGGCAGAAGAGGGCGTCAGATCCCCCTGGAACTGGAGTTACAGGTGGTT